CAACCACTTCTTCTTCTGTTCACTTCCTGCCGTATGACAGGAAGCTGCCGTCACTCGCAGCGATCAATGATCACTGGACTACGGCCGTTCACACTCTCATTAACACCATTAACACCAACGGGTTCTTTACAGGAAACACACTCAGTTCAGAAGAGACAGAACCAGAACCAGAACCAGGACCAGGACCAGGAGGGGGCCCACTCCTTATGTTGATGAAAAAATAAACAAAAAATAACAGAAAAGTTCTGTTTCTGTTCCTAATTATTTAAAAACACTGGCCTAAAGACTCAAACGACGTCGTGCGTTTTTATTCGGCTCCAGATGAACGGCAGCAGGTGACGTCGGGACAAACTGGTCACTGATTGGACGTCTCTGCACGATGACACATGAAAAGTTACATTTTTCCCACATCATTCACCTCAGACCCTCCTTTACTTCATCGTCATTGGTCCGCCTGATTGGTCCGCCTGATTGGTCCGCCTGATTGGTCCGCCTGATTGGTCCGCCTGATTGGTCCGCCTGATTTCAAACATTGATTGTTTGTTTGATCTGCTCCAATCGCTTTGACACTGAGACGAGATGTTGGTCTGACATTGGTTTGGGTCAAAGTGTGTGTGTGTGTGTGTTTGATCCGTCAGTGAAGCGCTGACCTTTGATCCACACATTTAATTGCCCATTACTGCCCCCTGGTGTGACCTTTGTCCTCCCTGCTCTCAGAGTTAACGACAACGTCTTCATAATGAGGTCTTTAACAAACACACTCTTCTCACATCCTGGTGCACACGCACACACACACACACGCACACACACACACGTGTGTATGAAACAGCTGTACCAGGTGACCTTCAGCCTCCACCTGGTTGGTTCACAGCTGCTGATGGTCTGAAGTCTCAGCTGGTTCCCATGACGACTGAGTGACCACACTCCGGCCCCTTGGACACACACACACACACACAGTGTGACTTCACCTAACGCTGATTTGGCAGCACACCTGTCGACACCAATCACTCAGGTTCTTACTCAGCAGCGCCCCCTTCTGTAGTCAAGGCTGCTGCTGTTGTTTCAAAACAGAACAACTGTCATCATTATGTTTGAACAAAAGAGACAAAACCAACGATGAGGGAAGTCTTCCTGGTGTCCTCGGGTCAATAACCCCACGACCCCAAAGGGGAGCCGACCCACACTTTGGGAACCACTGACAAATATAGAAAACAATTCTTTGAAACTATATTTGGAGTTCCACTTCATTTAAAACAAATTTTCCAAAAACCAAAAGACGGATAAGTTCACGTCTGACCCTGGACACACTGACGTCCAGGGTCAGGGACGACCACAGACCGGACTGACCCTGGACGCCGCAGCACAGACACACTGACGTCTGACAATTTTGTGTATGTGTCACAATGTGTGTGTTCCTGAACCATTTTGTGGTCACGGAGGAGGAGGAGGAGGAGGAGGAGGAGGAGGAGGAGGAGCACCCCTTCAGCTCCTTCTTCTTCGTGTCCATGACAGCACGTCCACCCAGACCCCGAGACTCCCGTCCTCCTCACTGTCTCACCCGTCCTCCTCTCTTCTCCTCTTCATCACTCCATAAATCCACACAACATTCCCCTTTTTATTTGGGACAGATTTATGAATTCAATCCAGGATGAGATCCATGACCAAAGTCTGGGCCAATCAGAGCCCTCGGGGCTGACTGTGTGTCAGGAGTGGTGGATCTGGTAATTAGGGCAACCAGGAGCTGTGTGTGTGTGTGTGTATTCTGTTTGTTGGGATCTAAACCCAGCCTCTCTCTCTCTCTCCCTTTCTCTCTCTCCCTGCAGGATGAGCTCTCACACCCAAACACACGGCAGTGAGCGGTGAGGAAGAAAGAGAGGAGCTGCTCGTCCAATCAGAGTTAAGATGGCCACACAGAACTTAGGTTACAGCCCAGAGGTGACCTGCACCCGCCAGTTTATCCACAGCCAATCAGAAGTGAGCCCCTGAATGACAACGTTTACCGAGGAAACCTGTGACAAAAGCTTACCCACAATCCCCTCATACGACCTTGTTTTTAAACTGAAGCGTAGACAAATTTCACTTTAACAAAAGCTAAACATTTTCTTCCAAATGGCTTTGATACGTTCGTCTTAGACGCCAGGCGTCGCTGCACGACTTTCTCCAATGGAAGCAGCAACAAAATCCCAAATGGCCCAAAGGAACGGTCGGCAGAGACGGCACTCAGAGGGCGGGGCTTCGTCTGTAGTCCTGTCTGGCGCCGGCACCTTCCTCTGCTGGCTCATCCTGCTGTCAGTGATGCAGCTGCCCGAGGTGGCGTCCGACTGTTGGCTAATAGAAGGCGAGAAGGGCTTCGTGTGGTTGGCCATCTGCAGCATGAACCAGCCGCCGTACGAATCCATCCCCGCTCACATCAACAGGTGAGAAACTCTTGGGAGGTTTGTGGTATCGGCTCTTTTTTACAGACCATTTCCCTCTGTCTCTCCGCAGCACCATTGTGGACCTGAGGCTCAACGAAAACAAAATACGCTCCGTCCATTATACGTCGCTCAGTCGCTTTGGAAACCTGACCTACCTGAACCTCACCAAGAACGACATCAGCTACGTGGAAGACGGAGCTTTCTCTGCACAGTTCAACCTGCAGGTAGGTTGACACCACCGGAACTGCTGTGTGTTTATGAATGCATTCAACAATTAGGCTAATTAGGCTAATTAGTCATCAGTCATCAGTTAGTAGTCAGTAGTCATTAGTCATTAGTCATCAGTCATCAGTTAGTAGTCAGTAGTCAGCAGTCAGTAGGCAGTAGTCATCAGTCAGGAGTAATTAGTCATCAGTCATCAGTCAGTAATCAGTAGTCGGTAGTCATCAGTCAGTAATCAGTAGTCGGTAGTCATCAGTCAGGAGTAATTAGTCATCAGTCATCAGTCAGTAATCAGTAGTCGGTAGTCATCAGTCAGGAGTAATTAGTCATCAGTCATCAGTTAGTAGTCAGTAGTCATCAGTCATTAGTCATTAGTCATTAGTCATTAGTCATTAGTCATCAGTCATCAGTTAGTAGTCAGTAGTCAGCAGTCAGTAGTCATCAGTCAGGAGTAATTAGTCATCAGTCATCAGTTAGTAGTCAGTAGTCAGTTGTCATCAGACAGTAGTCAGCAGTCAGTAGTCATCAGTCAGGAGTAATTAGTCATCAGTCATCAGTTAGTAGTCAGTAGTCATCAGTCAGCAGTCAGTAGGCAGTAGTCATCAGTCAGGAGTAATTAGTCATCAGTCATCAGTTAGTAGTCAGTAGTCATCAGTCATTAGTCATTAGTCATTAGTCATCAGTCATCAGTTAGTAGTCAGTAGTCATTAGTCATTAGTCATCAGTCATCAGTTAGTAGTCAGTAGTCATTAGTCATTAGTCATCAGTCATTAGTCATTAGTCAGTAGTCATCAGTCATTAGTCATTAGTCATCAGTCATCAGTCAGTAATCAGTAGTCGGTAGTCATCAGTCAGGAGTAATTAGTCATCAGTCATCAGTTAGTAGTCAGTAGTCAGTGTAGGTTCTCAGTCTCCAGGTCAAAGAGTTACATCACTTGTAACTACTGCACGGAGTCAGTTTTTTTTGAAGACGTTTCACCTCTCATCCAAGAGGTGAAACAGTACCAACCGTACCAACGGTACCATAATGTGCCTCCACACTCAGACACAGAACCGTCAGCGGACTCCTCTGAATATGAGCTGCAGTGTTGGACCACAGCCAGCAGGTGAAAAGCCAGCGACAGTTCGGAGTGAATTGTGCAGCAGCGTGGAGGCTTACATCAGCTGGTCAAACACCAGTCTGTTCCTGGTGCCGGTCTACGACGGCTGCCTCTGGCGTCACAGACTGGATTAATCCCACTTGTCTTGGTCTCGTCAGGTTCTCCAGATGGGCTACAACAAGCTGAGGAACCTGACGGAGGGGATGCTGCGAGGCCTGGGGAAGCTGCAGTACCTCTACCTCCAGGCCAACTACATCGAGACTGTTACCCCCAACACCTTCTGGGAGTGCCCCAACATAGAGAACATAGATCTGTCCATGAACAGGTACCGTGTGGCCCGGTCCGTCATGTTCTTCTCATTTGACAAAGTCACTTTGGCAAATCAGAGACTGTTGCTGATTGGACAAGAGTTCCAGAGATTTGGTCCAGTTGTACCGGTACCATGCTTTACCACCCAATACTGCAGTATTTCCCCTTGTGTACTGGCCCATACGGAGTACTGTTAGTGGAGCTTCTTTTGGGTTTCTTTGGTCCTAAACCGGNGGGGCCTTATTTTCTAAACCTTATGGTGAAGACAAATTTCTCTCTGGAAAAGCTCAACATTTGGTAATTAATAATTAAATCTGATGTTAGTCCTAAAATGAGTACTGGAAAAAAAACTTCATAATGAAGTCAAACCTCATTTTAGTGAAAAAAAAACTCTTTCATGGTTTGGTGATGACGGTGATTCATCTGTCAACAGTTCAGTACAGACTAACAGGAAGTCTGTCAGGAAACACATCTCTATCTGGGGGAGCGGGGCTGCAGGGGGGGGGGGGGGCGACTGACAGCAGCAAACGAGTGTTGCGTTTGATTGTCCTGACCTCTGACCCTTTGTCTTCCTCTCAGGATCCAGATTTTGGACGGCGCCCTGTTCTCTGGACTGTCCAAACTCACCACCTGTGAACTTTACACCAACCCCTTCAACTGCTCCTGTGAACTCCTCAGCTTTCTGCACTGGCTCGCTGCCTTCCCCAACAGGACCAGTGAGAGGATGGTGTGCGACTCCCCCGCTGGATTCTCCGGATTTAATCTCCTGAGTCAGAACCCTCGCATGGCGACACAGCGCACCGCGCTGCACGTGCTCAGCATCGTATGTACAGATGACGGCAGTAGCGTGACGCCTTTTTTCGCCATTGGTCCAATCGATTCCACCACCTCGTCCCCGGACCCCGCCTCCCCCTGTGGATTTGACGACTGTGCGTCTGGGACTCCTCCTGATGAGGTCATCAGTATCAGCTATCCCATTTTCCCGGAGACCAGTCCGCGCATCACGCTGAAGCAGGTGCTGCACTCCACCGCCGTCATCACGGTCCAGATTCCCAACCCGTACAGGAAGATGTACACGCTGGTGCTGTACAACAACAGCTTCTTCACTGACATCCAGATCCTGAAAACTCACCTGGAAGACATCGAGCTCAAGAACCTGAAAGCCAACACCGACTACACCTACTGCGTGGCCTCCATCAGGAACTCCCTGCGCTTCAACCACACCTGTCTCACCATCTCCACAGGTCGACGGGTGGGAGACGAGCGCAAGGCCAATCAGTCATCAGCCACTCATTACATCATGACTATTTTGGGATGCCTGTTTGGCATGCTGCTGTTCCTCGGGGTCCTGGTCCACTGCCTGAGGAAGAAGAGAATCATGGAGGAAAAGGAGCGGAAGATGAGCAGGATTCAGAGGACTCTGATAGAGCTCAAGTACGGGGGAGAGGGGGAGCTGGAGGGGGGAGGAGGATCTGTTTCACAGAAGATTGCTGGTGGGGACAGCCTGTCCAGAATACCCTACCTGCCCCCGGGGGGAGAGATTGATCCATACAAGCTGCAGGAGGTGCTAGAAACACCAGCCCACAAGCCAGGCAAACTGAACTACATGGAGGTGAGAGGCTCCAGCATGGAGAGGGAGAGGGAGAGAGAGAGGGAGAGGGAGAGGGAGAGGGAGAGGGAACGAGACATGTCCCCCCAGGCCAACGCCCAGGGCTCGGTGGCAGAGATCTCCACCATAGCTAAAGAAGTGGACAAAGTGAATCAGATCATCAACAACTGCATCGATGCCCTCAAATCTGAATCCACCTCCTTCCAGCAGGGCATTAAATCGCCCACCGCTGCAGGTGGAGGAGCCGTTTCCACCGCAGAGCCTCAGCTGGTGATTCTCTCTGAGCAAGGAGAAAGAGGAGGTGAGTTCCTCTCCCCGGTGTATAAAGGAGGCCGAGGAGGGAGGGAAGAGAGGGGCAGAAGCTCTCATCATTCTTTACAGCGTCACCACAGCATGGAGGCGCCGCCGACCACCAAGAGGCCCAGCACCTCCTCCTCCCCTGGCTCCGCTCGCAGCCCTCGCTCCTTCCGCTCAGAGGGAGGCTTTCACTCGTCGGAGAACCGTTATATCGAGAGGACCTCACCTGGGGAGAGAGGAGAAAGAGGGGGAGGGGAGGCCGTCCGTACGGTCAACCCCGCCGCCGCCATTCTTCGAGCAGAAGCCCAGAGAATCCGCCAGTACAACGAGCACCGTCACTCCTACCCCGGCTCCCAGCAGCACCTCCAGGAGCTGCAGCACCACCCTCAGATTTTGCAGGAGCTCCACCACCACCCTGGAGGACGTAAGCCCACGGTTTTAGACCCCCTGACCCTCAGCAGGCAGGCCAAGCAGCGGGAGATGGCCTACTCCCAGCTGTCCCCCCACTACCCCCTCTCACCGCAGTACCACAACCTCAGTTACTGCTCCAGCCCCGAGGAGGACGAAGAGGAGGAAGGACTGCTCTGCACCCCCACCCTGGGCCTGTGGGAGAGATTCAAACTCCACCGCAAGAGGCACAGGCAGGCCTCCATGGAAGACGAAGGATACGTGGCAGCGGGACACGCCCTGAGGCGGAAGGTTCAATTCGCCAAGGACGAAGACCTTCACGACATACTGGACTACTGGAAGGGGGTGTCGGCCCAGCAGAAAGCCTGATCTCTGAGGGGAGTCGGGGGACACCCCCCGCCCCCCGCCCTTTCCACATAGGTGCAGACACACGGACCTGTACATATGAATACACACACACACACACCTCCCGCAAACGCAGCCTTTTTTTTTGAAGAACATCAAGGACCAAACATCAGTTCAGTCTGTGATGTCGCTCTTTGTTCTCCCTTTGATCGACACGGTTAAAGAAAGAAAGAAGCGCTGGTTTTCACTCTGCCTTGACAGTGACATTCATCCACTCCAGGTTTTTCTGGTTTTTTGTTTGTTTTTTGGGGGGTGGAGAGGTGGGAGGTGTGTGTGTGTGTGTGTGGGGGGGGGGCATTGTGAGGTTGTTCTTCTTGCATCGCGTCCTGCGATCAAGGAATTATCGGGATTGGGTTGCCAGGCAACAGAACTGTTTTTCTCCTGTGCCAAATGGACCGAGGGTGTCGTCGTAGTAGAATCTCTACTGTGTTTTATAGTCAGAGTACAATTATTACTACGTTATTACCATGGTTATAACCATTGGTGGTTCTCATCATGAATATTCTCTGGATCTTTGGACTGAACTGTGTGAAGGAGGGTTCTTCTTCTTTGTTTTTTTTTTCTCTCTCTCTGTAGAGAACGTTCTCCACTGAGCCAAACACAAACTCCTCTTAGAGCCGTGTGGTGAACCGCGGTTCCTCCTCCTCCTCCTCCTACAGGAGAGAGGAGGAAGTTCTATATTTGACTCCTTCCCTTTGTAGAACCAATCTCTCAGACACAGCGGGTCGGTGACCTGTTCTCGGTACGTTTTTGATTTTGAAACCGAACATCAAATGAATGTCTTTGATTCCCCAGGGGAAACATATCTGCACTGTTCAAAATCAAAAAGACCTGAACCTCTCAGCTTCCTCCGAGACACTGTAGTTTAACTGTGTTTGTCAACTCTCCATCTCTCTCTCCCCCTCCCCACATTCACCAACTCTTTGTATTTTATTCGTAGGATTCTGCGGGATCCGCTGTGGTGCCATATTTGAAAACTATTTTAGATACTACTGATTACAGACCTCTCTTTTCTCCACGTCGATGCCAAACAAAGAAGGAATTTGCACAAAGGTCTGGTTGGCACCATCAGTTCACAGCCCCCTCCCACCCTCTAATCATTTCAAGACCAAAGTACTGTGGTAGTAAATCTGACCCTGGGTAGCCCCGATAACTGACCCCGGTTTAATGAGCAGTTGCTACTTTAGCACACACACACAGTCAACACCACAACTGTCCGAGGGAAACAACGCACACACAACAACAACAACAACAACAACAACAACAACAACAACAACCACCACCACCACCACACAGATGAATGTATTTTATGAGAAATAATACTGCAGTAGCTGGAATTCTTTTTTTTTTTTCATGTCTGGGCTCTCGTCAAACTGTGTTTTACAACTGGACACAAAGGAAAATATCCACTTCCTGATCTTAGAGAACGTCACTGTTTGTAACTGTACGGGGGTCTCGACCTCATCACAGGTTTCATCTTGACACCAGGACTGGATACCAGTTTTATTAAAATTGTGCAGGTTGTTATTACAGGAAGCTGAGGGAAAGTCACCACGTTTGATGTGCTGCAATGATCGGCATTACCACAAGAGGGAGAACTGGGGGGGTGGAGAATGAAAGCTAATTTTACAGCACAGAACGGAGGTGATGAACCATGAAGACTTGAACCCTGTATCAAAGTCATCGAGTCCAGTTAAAGCCATAATCCTGGCTCAGTGACATCACCACAGCTGTTGGCTGGTCAACTGTTGGCTGGTCAGCTGTTGGCTGGTTAGCTGGTCAGCTGTTGGCTGCTCAGCTGTTGGCTGGTTAGCTGTTGGCTGGTTAGCTGTTGGTTAGTCAGCTGTTGGCTGGTCAGCTGTTGGCAGTAGCTCTGTTAAAACAAACAAACAAAAAACCCATGGAAAAACCGTTTTCCCTCTTTTTAGAATAAAATTCCAAAGGAGCAGCTGCAGCAGCAGCAGTTTGGTCACACGGTTCCTGTGCTGCTGCAGCACAAACGCTCCGACAGGAAGTGGTGCACTGTGGTTGTTTTTACCCTACACACACGTCCAGATTGTGGCTTTAACTCAACAACAGCCTTAAACCTTGACCTTTGGTTTGATATTTGAACTCTCGCATTGCTTTGAAAAGCCGATACTTTAACGACTGCAGTTTTTCTAATTGCTTGTTTGATTCTTAAGCCTCACTTGAGGATTCTCTAGGTAACAGTAATATCAATGTAGCAACGTATTTAACGACTGACTGTACTTTTCCTTCTTTGGTTGTGTTCCGTTCATCTGTCAGAGAGCAGCAGAGCTCGTCCCCATCAGACTCTACGCCCGTGACCACAGGGCTGTTCTTTCAACTGTGACCCCCCCTTCCCCCCCCAGCTCTGCTGTTCTTTGAACCATGACGAAAAACAAACTTTTTTTTTTAAACGCCCGGTGAGTGGGAACGGACTTCTCACCAGAAACACTGAAGTGAACGTGGATTACACTGCGAGGAAATCCTCGTGTTGAAACGACTCAGGAGTGACCGAGAGAGCTATGTATAGAGAGAGAGAGAGAGACACTCTGCCATAGGATCTCTCTGAGGTTTCTTTATTTTCCTGTCAAAAAGATTTTAATGAGCACAATAAAAAAGCATTTCTTTCAACGTCTGCTTTCTCTCCACAAACATTTGAAACACTTTTCAGTGTCAGGTCTCAAAGAGCGGCTTTTCTTATCGTTGTCTTGATCAGCTTTGAATTATCGACAATAAGTAACACAACTCAGCTTTTACTTTTTTATGATTTTTTTTGTTAAAAAAAAAAAAGACAAAACAATCCAGTGTCGGTGGAAAACAAAAACACAAAGACTTTCCACTGTTGGTTGGACTTGATTAAAAAGGTGTGACCTCTTTCTCTAAGGTCACGACACATCGTTGGCTCCTCCAGCACACCACACCCCCTGGTGGCTTCAAACGTCAGAGCTTTTGAGGAAATTTTTGATTTTATTAAAAAAAAAAAAAAAAAAAAATCAAACAAGGCAGAAATAATAAAAGAAGAAAAGTTGAAGTCAGAAGGATGAATCTTCACAGGTCTGACGGCTGCTTTTTCAGACTGTGGTCTGTCTGCTGAAGAGGTCAAGGGTCACAGCAGAAAGGAATGCTGGGATGCTCTTCTGGTGATGCAGATGAAGAGCCACCATTTCCCCCAGAGTCTTGGAGAACTCCGTTTCCATCAGCTGCATGTTCCCACTGGAGCTCTGAGTCGACAGAGAGACAAACACACCAGGATCAGCCAAGCAGGTGTGTGTGTGTGTGTGTGTGGGTGTGTGTGTGTGTGTGTGTGTGTGTGCATTCACAGTGGGCTGAAGGAGGAGGAGTCATTAAAGGGGAGGAGTCTTCTCACCTGTGTTTTAGCTGAAACACTAAAATCATGAGAATGTTTGTTTACAGCTGCCCCCCCCACCCCCCATCATGACACATCACATCACCATCATCATCATCCCCATCATCACCATCATCATCATCCCCATCACCACCATCATCATCATCATCACCATCATCCCCATCATCACCATCATCCCCATCATCATCATCCCCATCACCACCATCATCATCATCATCTCCACCATCACCATCACCATCATCATCACCACCCCCATCATCATCATCATCCCCACCATCATCACCATCATCGTCATCACCATCACCACCATCACCCCCACCACCATCACCACCCTCCTCATCATCATCATCACCACCACCATCATCACCATCATCGTCATCACCATCACCACCATCATCATCATCACCATCCCCATCATCATCACCATCACCACCATCACCCCCACCACCACCATCACCACCATCACCCCCACCACCACCATCATCATCACCACCCCCATCATCATCATCACCCCCATCATCATCATCACCCCCATCATCATCATCATCACCATCATCACCATCACCACCATCATCACCATCATCCCCATCATCATCATCATCCCCACCATCATCACCACCATCATCATCATCATCACCACAGTTCTTGATGTGGACCCAGGAGAGAAGGTCTAACAGTTGTGTTCACACCGTGGTTCCTGTGACTTCCTCATGACCGCCTCACTGCACTGCTTCATTTCTTTGACACTGAGTCGAGACGTTGGTCACTACTAACTGGTTATCTGGTTAAGGTTATCTGACCTACGTCAGGAAACAAACCAGTGGTTGTTTCTCAAAGATTAGAGCAACATAAGACCTGAAGACAGGAAATACAGTCGGGGTGGGGGGTATTTAGCAGCAGCACTGCCAACAACAGCACCAGGTGGGGGCAGCAGCTGACTGGTAGGGCAGAGAGCAGGAGGCAAATTAATGGCAGAATGAGAAATATGCAGATGAATGCCTTTCAATTTAAATGCAGATTTCCCATTGGTCCAGTGTCGTTGGCCTTTGTATCAGACTGTTTCTGATACAGTGTAGTCCGATCACAGCAGTCAGTGTGGACTCGTCACTTCAACACACACCTCAACCTGGGGACAGCCAGCGCTAACGTGCCTTTAGCTAACAGAACTCCACACTCGTTATATGGTCGTGGACTGGACCCTTCCACCTTCATCTCGGACCATTTCCGTCTTGCCTTTATGTGTGTGCGTGCTGTCCCGTGTGTGCGTGCTGTCCCGACAACACCCACCCCCCTGCAGTCACAGACCAGAGAGACCTCCGTCACCGCAGTCACAGACCAGAGAGGTCACAGACCAGAGAGCCGTCACAGACCAGAGAGACCTCCGTCACAGACCAGAGAGACCTCCGTCACCGCAGTCACAGACCAGAGAGACCTCCGTCACTGCTGTCACAGACCAGTGAGACCTCCTCCACCCCAGGACACGTCCACCACCCCAGGAGACGCGTCCACCACCCCAGAACGCGTCCACCACCCCAGGAACAAACTGCATACATACCTTTTTGAAGAGCAGAGAGTCTTCCATGTGTTCTGCATACACCGAGGTGAGTCTGTACTGGTTCTCGGTGGTGATGTCTATCTGATATCCTGTCAGGACGTAGCAGACGGTGCGAAACTCCTGGATTTTTCTCTGGAACACCTCCTTCAGCCTCTGGTTTTTCAGTTCACAGCTTTCCATCTGCTTGCGTAACTCTAATTAAAAGACAAAGTTTGTGGAGACAGACGTGCGTCAGAGTTGCTGTTTTATTTACAACAGCCGACCAGTGATTGTGAATCAACACCACAGTCCACTCCACAGCACTGAGCTCAGAGGAGCAGGAAGAGGCTGAGAATCCATTTACTATAATGACACTGATTCAGGTTTGTTGGAGAAATCTGGGTGAAAACAGCTTTTCTAGAAGGAATCATTCACGACGTTCCGACTTCAGCATGTGGGAAATGAAGCTGAGGAGAACAGAAACAACTGATAAACCACGGTTACTGGTTGTTTCTAACCATTTTGATATGATTTATGAATGTCATGAACAAATCAGATCATCAGTTAGGGTTAGGGTTAAGAAACATCTGATGTGTGTGAGCCCTGATTTTGAACTTCATGCTAAATGTTATTTCACAGAAGACGTCAGAGAAGTCGAGAGTCGGTCATTCTGACCATCAGCTGAGAACCCTGAGAATTTTAAGAAGAAGCACCAGAAGCAGAAAGTCTTGGTGGCTCTGTTCTATTCTTCAGTGTCGTTCTAGTCCGTCTCCTCGGTAACACAGACTGATAAAGACCTCCAGACGGTGACACTGGACGACAGCTGTGAGAATAACACAGACCACTCTCTCAACTGATGATGCGTTCTGAACCGTCCTGACTTTGGAGGCAGACCAAGTCCAGACTGCTGGGACTTTGTGACTAGTTATTGAAGCAGACAGGAAGTGCCTGTTTGTGTCCTACCTTGAACTTCCTTTGAGGGCGGCAGACTGAGGCTCAGGTTGGAGATGTGTAAACGGGGGTCTTCAGGAGAACGGCCCAGATCCTGCAAGGAGCGCACAAGCTCCCTCAGATGTGTCACTTCCTCCCGGAGAGCCTCCACTTCCTGCTGGCGCTGTTGCTTAGCAACAGTGGTGGGGTTCATTTTAAAGTGTAGAACTCTGGTTCTGACCGGATCGTAATCTCCCTGAGGAAAAAAGGAGTTTAGAAATGTAGAAACGTAGACTTTCATATCAAATACAGCGGTCCTTCTCCCCACCACGAGAAGAGAAAGGGGCGTCTGACGCCGAGGTAAATATTTGGACAGAACCCACTGCAGGTACAATACCATGGACCTGACGGTCCTGAGAAGTGAGAACAAATCAGCTGAAAGAATGTGTTCAATATTCAAGAGTCTTCATCGTCGTCTTCGACCTCCGTTTGTTTTCTTAACCCAGAACCTGTTAAACCAGCGCTACAGGCGTGGAGGAATGGGAGAAAACACACACACACACATGTATTTATCTGAGCTTGAAGCACAGCAGGCAAACACACACACACACTCTTGATTAAGGAGTCAGTTGCAGAAAGGGCTGCAGAAACAACATGGAGCGCAGTGGGGGGAGGGGGGGGGGAGGAGGAAAGCCTGTTCACACACAGGTTTACAAACCATATCAACTGTTTAGATATGTATTCACACACACACGAAGCTTTTCCAGGATGTGTCAGACGTTTTAACAACAGAGTGAAGGAGCAGTGACATCATCTCCAGACTCACTCTGTTTGTTCATTTATTTTCCTGAATAAGGAAAGTTGTAAATCATGTCCTATGTCATCCACATAGGGCCGACTCTACACCACAGAGAGCAGAGCCCCTGAATCTGCCTAAGGCCAAATATACTTTATTAAAAAACAACAAACCCACATCTGATACCGCTCTGCACAAACAGTGTAAATGAGGGGGGGATGGGGGGGGGGATGAACCCACAGATCTAAGACCACATCAGCAGAAAAGAGCTTTTTAAAGCAGGTAAAGAAACCATGGGTGAGATGGAGCAGTGACAAAGCAGTCGCTGATGTGACGTGTTTCAAATAAAGTCCAAATTCAAACACATTTGAATTCTTCCTTAACTTTCCAGTCCCTTGTCTTCAGCTCCTCATCTCTACACTGTCTGCTGTAAAAGGAGGAGATTCTAAAGTACCAACTGAGCTGCTGCTGTTACCATGCAGGGCTGACACGCTGACACACACACACACACACACAGCGCCTGAGTTGTGGATAGCCTTAAATGTGGTGGTCATGTTTGAGCACACATGGATTTTATTCACCCTGCAGTAAATGGAAGCTCCTCTCTCCCCCTCACAGGTTTGATTAGACGGAGCTGTGGCTGCAGTTTGGCACAGTGTGAGTCAGTGCCACTGGAGAAACTGCAGCACGCATGCGCACACACACGCGCGCACACACACGTAAAGCCAATTTGAAAGAGTAGTAAGGGGATGGTGTAAGAGGAGGAAGCAGATCAGTGTCTGTGTTTTATTGAAGTGATGAGTTCCAGCTCAGAGTTTCTAACAGGATTTCTACTTTGAATTAAAGTTGACACATGAGGAGAAGTGTTTGTTTGACAATGACCCCCAGCCGCCTGTCAGATGTTGGTGTGGTCAGTATGACTCAGCCTGAGGTTTGAGCTGTGAGACCTACCTGCAGGTTGTGTCTCTCCAGTCTCATCTCCAAAATGTTGTTCTGCTCCTCCAGTCGCTGTCGCTCTGCCTCTAACTCCTCTATCTTCTGTCTGAAACACACGGACCAACATCAGTCACTATAATCTGGGTTGGATTACCTCAGATGAACACCTCCAACAGAACAGTGTTACTACCTGAGGTTGTCCACCTCCTCTCTGTCCAATAAAGAGCTGCTGTCACCGGCGGAGGCCTGTTGTTTCTTCACTGACTGAAGCTCCGCCTCCATCTGAGACGGACCAAGGAGAACATGAACGTTGGAGTGTTTATATCATCTGTTCCAGACCGACACCCACCCACACACACCCCCCCACACACACACACCCGACCCTTCATTCACTTCAGTTTCATTCATCAAACTGTTATTTGCACAAGCGGTGCGTGTCTTTCTGACAGAATCTGTCTGTCTTTCAGTGCGTCCTCACCCCTGGATGAAGAAATCCAGTACAGTAAACCCTTGTTTTTCGCGGGGGTTACGTTCCAAAAAGAACCTGTGATAGGCAAAATCCGTGAAGTAGAAATCTTTATTTTTTTTACAATTAAATACTCAGAAAAAGAAGAGAAAGAACGAACAAACCATTTTACAGTCTCAACCATTTGTTTCACAAATAAAGTAAAATAAAAGTACTTTAGAAACATTTCAACAAATAACTTCTGTAATGTACTGTCAAATAATAATTTTAATCATCAACGTGAACAGAAGGCTTCAAATTGCGGAGATTAGCACCGCCCACCGTGAACGGGAGAAAATTAAAAATGATTATGAAAAAAATACAAATTACCTGGTCTTGTTGCGGGCAGTTGCAACCCTTTTTGAATCCTTATTAAAACTTATTGCTGCTGTCTTCCTTATGTTTTTTTCTTCCTTCTTTATGGAACGAACGGAAGATTCATTAATTCCATAATGCCGACCTAGAGCCGCATAGCTTTTAGCTTCATTTAGCATGTCCAATAGTTTGACTTTATCACCGATAGACAGCATCTTCCGCTGCCTTTTGGTCCCTACCGCAGGTACTTTTGCCGGTCCAGAGCGTTTTGTCGACATTATGGGGTTTGATAAACTCGAAATTGAAAGAGAATTTGCACGTACGTAATGTCAATTTGGCAAGCTGTTTTACGTACGTGTACATATTAAACCGCAACGTTATTGGCGCACAGGTAGAGAAGAAGCGGAGTGACTTTTTAGCCAATCAGAATGCAGAACAAAAAGCACGATGCAAATCCGTGAAGTAGCGAAACCGTGAAAAGTAAACCGCGTTTTAGCAAGGGATCACGGTACTGCTATACCGTGTGGATTTCATACATGGATACTTCATCACCATGACTGTGTTAATGTCTCCTTGGTAACAAGAAGACAGGAGACAGAGGGAGTGAGAAGAGGAAGAGCTGCAGACCATTCACAGTTTGAGCAACTTCACTTTAAATGAAGTCCCAGAGTTGGTCTCCATATTTGAGACAATACTGGTCCCTCACTGGTGTCCCACCTTGTCAAACCAGTTATATCTCACATGCAGCACTATAAAAACAGACTATAAGCCGCTACTTTTTTCACACACTTTGAACCTTGCTACGGCTAACTCATGGATTTTTACAGGCTAACGCAGTTCAAACGGCTAGCCTTCAATGACTTTTCTGATTGGCTACTGGGTGTTGTGCTGGTAGTGTAATATTGTGGTCATCCAGTTGTGGGCCGGGTTGGATGGATTGGTGGGCTGGACCAGTTGCTGTTCCATTTGATTACAGTGATTGGCTAGCAGTGCACAAACTGTCGCCTCCTTCAGTCTTCCATCGAGTTCTATAATCTAATCTAATCTAATCTCATATACACTGTTCCCTCTCTATATGGTGGTTCTCCTTTCACTCCCCCAGTATATCACAGATTTGTTTTTTAATCCAATCTGGTGAAATGTTCACTATACTGAAAAATATTATCTAGTTCTTTAATCTAAATTAAATCTGTGAATGTTTACACATTTGAAACCAATGACTCGACGTCAGTGAAGCCACAGGTACAGTCGCTCAGTGTGTTGGTACTCACCGCCTGTAGCTGCAGTCTGAGTGTTGTCATCTCCTCCTGTGTCTTGGAGAGCTGAACCTGTGGTAGTGGGACGACAAAGACGAAGAACATCTCAGGTGTGTCCCGTGGATTCACTCCACAAGAAGAACTGAAGGAGGAACGGAGTCAACACCAACCTCCATCTCTGCGTTGTGACTCTGTGTTTTCTGCAGCATCTCCTCTGCCTCCTTCAGCCTTTTGGTGAGCTGCGGAGAATAGTCCGTGGCTGCCAGCTCGCTGTCGTAAGACTCCAGTATGGCCCTCATGCCGTCGCGCTCCTGTCAAACGCACAAGGGTTAGTCAAAAAGTTCAAAGACAGATGTAACTAGCACATGGGAGGACAGGGTGATCCTTGTGGACGTTTGTCTTTAGATGTGGCCCAGTGATGGACTGAAGGTAGTGACAGGGTTAGGGTTAGGGTTAGTTAACCCTAACCCTAACCCTAACCCTGGGGAGACCAGGTCAACACCCAGCAGTGAGTCGTCATTTTCATCTGACAACAGCTGATGTTTTTCTACAGGCTGGGATTTGGTGCCAGTGAAACATTAGAGACTCCACCAGATCATCATCTTCAGATGAACAGCAGTGACATTTGTCGTTCATCAGTCTCTAACACAGAGAGAAAAACAACAGCGGAGGACGAAACAGAAACCTAAAGTCACCTGTAGAGGTCAGTGTGTAGGTTTACTTCATATCCCGCTGTTATTTACCGTCTATTAATGTGCAGAGGAATTCATTCAATCTAAATCAAAAATCTACCAGCTCTTCTGATAAAACTTTCATTTGGAGAATAATCACCGAGGGGCACGATGGAGCGATAAAACCGTTATTAATCTTTTCATCCTTCGTTTCCCAGAATTGCTTTTATGTCGTCTGTTTTATTGAGTTATTAGAAATGTGACTGTGGCTCCGTGGGAGGAGACGTGACACTGCAGCAAAAGCTCTAGCTCTTGCAGAAATTTAGGGGAAAAAAACACAAAGAAAAAAAACAGTGAGGTGTAAAAGATGAGTGAGAGGAGTCCAAACATGTTGATCTGACACTTCACACAGCAACAAATCAATATCACTGGGAGCTGTAGTCAGGAACTGCAGAGTCGGGGGGATTGTGACGGGCATATTTAGAGCCCAGGAGAAAGCAGTCACATGACTGTCGTCGACCAATCACCAAAGGTAGATGAGAGGAGACATGTCAACAAACCTAAACAACTATTAAAATGATAGTGCAGTGAGGTTCGTGCGGGGCAGCCACCTTTGTGAGTAACAGTATTCTCTTCTGCAGGCGTCGGACCAAAGCCTCCTGCGTCTCCCTCTTCTTCTGCTCCTCCACAGTCCTGCTGCACTGATAGGAAAGCTCTGCATGGAGCTCGGTCTGCATGCGCTCCACATTCCTCACACTGACAGACACACAAAGATGAACATTAGAATGCAGCGCACACACACACACACACAGAGAGAGAGAGAGAGAGAGGGAGGGAGAGAGAGAGGTATTACAACCCAGCTCTCTTCTTTTCCAGCCTAACACCAAATTATTCTGAGATGAGGTTCTGATACGAATGCAGCACTAATTCTGTGAAGTCCCATCAATCATGACACCCACCAGAGGGCAGTAGTTGTACCTGCAGCTGCCGTCAGCCTTCCTGCCCGTACCCCAGCATTTAATGTGATTATGTTTAAATTAGGTCAACACGTCTGTGAGATAATGAAGCTCCTCTCAGACAGACGGAGGAGGGAACGTGAGAGACGTCACCGCCGCATCTGAGCAGGACACCTTTAATTAGTGAATTTCACCAGTCTCACTTAAAAATGTTCTCTCTCTCCAGACACACACACAGACCGGGGGTGGGGGGGGGTGTCAGGAATGCTATCAGAGTCAGGACCAGTTTAATTAACTTTGTGACAATTTAGGACTTTCTGAGAGATAGGTTTTAATAGATACAGGAGGAAGGAGAGGGGGGGGGGGAAGAGGGGGCAGCCAGCTGCCAGCTCTCCAGAAGAAACAGTTTTAAGGCTGTGAGAACTGAAAGTGTGTTTTTGTAAATGATTGGAGGAGGGTGCATCACCGGCTGTTCAGAGTGTAGTTCTGCTCCTTCAGAGCAATTTCTCTCTGTTGGATTTGAACCACTTCCCTGGACAGATCGTCTGGTTTCCTGCAGATCACACACACACACACACAGAGAGAGAGAGAGAGAGAGAGAGAGAGAGAGAAAGACACATGACGTCACCTGCTCTTAGTTCAATACATTTAAATGTGATTTGTCAGAATGTATATTGGGCTGACGGGGGGGGGGGGGAGTGAGAACAAAGGTTTGAGAAGCACTGGGCTAACACAGTAAAACAGTACCACAGTACAAACCACAGTACAACCTACAGTACCCCAGTACAAACCACAGTACCAGATAGTACTCACTCACTCGTGATGGAGTAATTAAAAATATAAATACTGAATTTATGGTCGTCGTTTTCCTGTGGCAGGTTGACGGCTGCGGTGTAGAAATAATCCCATGACTTATGGAAGCACCACAGAGTGGTGTCACCCACATGGTGGAGCCGAGAGAAGAACCTTGGCCTCGGCTTTTACCAGACGTTGTTTTCTGATTTTCTTGAAGAAAATGTAGCAGACACCCTGTTGTTTTGGGAAATAAAGGCTTGTGTAGACCATCAGTTAGGAGGCGTCACAACTGTGAGGTTTGACGCCCCCTGCCCTCAGGAAGGTGATTCATAAACCACCGTTTTACCCCAGAGTCTTGTTAAATTCTTGTGATTCTAACCCACACAACAGCGACACAACGGCAACATTTACTGCTGAGTGTCTAATGGACCAACCAGAACCTTAGAGTGCAGAACTATCTGTAACCCTCAGAGGTCATTCAGTGAGGGTGAAATAAAGACACGCTCTCAGACACTGTAATGTATGGTTTAATAAAACGTCCTTCATTTCCATATTTCCTCCCTGAGCAGCTAACGTCTTCATTCTTTCAGTCCTTTAACAAAACCACACAGCTACTGTGTGTGTGTGTGTGTGTCCTATTTCATATTCTGTCAACATCACACCATTCTGACTTAATGACAGACTAAATGATGCGGGTACATGTGCATGTAATGCACATGTACCCGACTGTGACGTCAGCATCATCTGTCGGAGCTGCTCGACAGGAAACACGTGATAATTCTCTCATTACTGACTGCTCACACGGGCAGGTAGAAACAAACACACACCTTTTGGGATCGAGCGTTGAAAAAACCTCCTCCGTACAGAGAGACCACAGCACCATCTAGTGGCAACTCTGCATTTTCCTTTGGGGAAAAAAGTCCTACAGTATAGTTCTATATAAATCTCACCTTATATTAAGACCAGTAGATTGTTGCAGGTTTTCCCAGGCTTGGAGTTTTTCTGCCAGTCTCTAGGAGAAATAAATAAATGGAGAAATAAATAAATAAACAAATAAATAAATAAACAAACAAACAAACCATGTGAATTACGATTCTGAAAACCTAGTATTTCACAGAGTCCAGTCGTCCCAAAAGTGTTCACCTCTTTCTGCAGCTCCATTTTGACCAGATCCTCTTTGGTTTTCTCCATCCTTTCCAATTTTCTCCTCAGACCCTCCACCTCCTCTTCCATCAACCTAAAATTCTCTGTGATATCACTGGTCAAAATAAACAGGAGAAATTATTTGGGGAATTTGGGATTTGGTGTTCCACTGCAACAAGGACGAGCTCGTAGCAGGTGACTACATGTACATGTGGAACTTAAACCACAAACGTTGCATAAATAATTAGGGACAACTATACTTGACTGCAGAATCCTGCATCTATAACAGCAGACAAGAATCACTGCAGTAACTATGAAGTTAGTAGTTCAGCGACAGAGAGATTAACAGGTTAACGTTTCACACCACTGTAGGTCATTGTTGTTAGTTTACTGACGCCCTGAAATACAGGTAAAAACCACAACGTGAAAAAAATCAACATCTACCAAATCAAAATAGGATCATTTAATTTGATTGGATTAATTGAATTCTGTAATCTATGTATATAACACGGTACAGCATTCCAAATAAGTGTCACCAAATAAATAATACTTCAAACATTTTATTTATAGGTGGCAGGACTGAACCATGGAAACATCTGAACAGCTGTAAAGAATATAATGTTTTTTACCTGAGGAAGTTGTTCTCTTCTTGGAGGCGTTTCACTTCGTTCTCCAGTTCTGGGACCTTCTCCACCTCCAGCTTCACAGTCGTCACAACCGCCATGTCCTGCTCCTGCAGAGCCAGACGTCTCTCCAACTCCTGCCACAGATAAAAGATGAAGTCACACAAACACCACTGATCTGCACGCACATATATCATATATTTGTAGAATATATACAGTATATGTGATATGTTCACAACCATCCATCACATGTTGCTGCTACATCTCCATTCATGTGATACCTTAATCTTCACCACATGCTCAGAGCAGATGGATTCAGCCGCCTGTAGAGTCTGGCACAGCTGATACACTTCCTGGTACTTCCTGTAAATCATGTACAAAAGTTGACACAGTGTGAACATTCATGAGCATCGCCGTTTCTCTTAGCAACAACACCCAGCACTGGCCGATCAACTGATGACAGATCCATGTTCAGTCGGGGACATATTTAAGTGCTTCAAAGAGTTCTACAAAGAGTTCTACAATCAGCACATTTTGAAGTTTTTCAGGAACATCTCCACACCAGGAAACAGGAGACGTGTGAAGAGCCGTCTCTTTTATGTTAAAAACATCAGTGTAGACTTAAAACACCAGATCTGATCTGTTGTAGACCACGCAAGCATGAGACACTTCAATGACAGGTGAGCGATCAGATCGCTCAGGACGGATGTGAATACGGATGTGGGCGGAGCCAGTACCTGTGTTGCAAATCAAGTCTCTCCTGCATTTCCTGGTTTTCAAGACTTTGAGCAGAAATTGTGGAGTCCTTATTTTGAATCTTCTGCTTCAACTCCCTGATCTCATCCTTCAAAGTACTGACGGTCTGAGAACCCGAGCAAGAAATCCATCCACATTAGAGAGAACACTTCAAGGCTACTACTGTATTTGTGTACATGTACATTTCAGTGTGTACCTGGTTGACAGTGTTCAGCGACAGATCTCGCTCCTCCAGTTTCTTGGTCAGGCCGATCACGTTCTTGCGGAGAGCACGATTCGTCTCCATCTGTTCTGACAAGTTCTTGACTGCATCAGCTTCTCGTTCCTCTAACCGTATTATTTTTCCCAGGAGGTCCTGACTTCTGCCCATTTCATGCTTTAATATGCAAAGACAAAAGGTTTGAACAGAAAGTTGCCAGAGAGCAGGTGAGTTTTAGAGACAAAGGACAAGACACATGGATGTACCTCTAACTCTCGTGCCCTGTCAGAAGCAGCCTTTTCCAGTTCATATCTGGCTCGTTTGTGACTCACTTCCATCCGCTTCTTCTCGTGGTCCAACTGAAGGCAGCGTTTCTTTGACTGTGCTCTCTCTGTTGCGTCTAAAACCTGCACAAACAAGGTCATCACAGTTTTCTGTCATCCAACTGGTTCTCTATGGCTAAATGATGACGCTCTCAGTCCTTACGTACATCCATGCTGCGTTTGAACTGATGACGGAAACTGCATCCTGGTGGTTCAGTCAAGTTCTTCTCTGAGTCGCTGATGAAGGAGTTGAAGGACTTCAAGGTTGTTAAAACGGTAGTGTCGTCTTCTGAATCCATTCTGGAGGACTGAGTGAGAGACAGGCCTCAGATATCATGGTATGTTTTGACACAACCACAGAAGTGTGAACCACTGAGTCAACATCAGTTCATGAGGGATTCAGGAAACTGCTGTCTCATGTGAATAATGAGCACTTTGTCAGTGAGAAAGTCATTTAAACAAGTTATTATTAGACATGTATAAAACTTGGTTCAATAGAAAACACGCCAGTAGCTGTAGTAACTTTAAGGAATTAAAGTTACTACCTATTTATATTAGCTAGCTATAATCTAAGAAACGTGGGGGCGAGTGGGAAGGAGTGGACTCGGGGGGTGGGGGGGTGGGTCGCAGGGGGTTTTGAACGGACCCCCACACAGGCCGCGGGAAGACCATAGTATTGAGACGGCGGGGGGGCGTGTGGAAAGGGGTGGGCCGGGGGTGTGGGGGGGGGGTCTGGTTAGAAGAGGTTTGTACAGGACACCATAAAAAGTAGGAGCGTCACTGCTAACACTGCTAGTCCAGCTAACGTTCAGTGAGACAACTTTAAGACGACAGACATGTGTGCAGCGCTGTAAATACAAGTCTACTTCAGACTAGCTGCAGCTAACCCAGCACTTGTTCCCGTTTACAGTGAGTGGGACACAAATGACCATGTCATCATCGAATAACAGAGCAGCCTTTCGCAGTGAAGTCGAGGGGTTCGCTATCGTACAGCTAGCTAAGTAGCTAATACAGGTCAAACAAACGGCTCCGCTCCGAGGAGTGCCCTCTTATCTTCTGCTAACGTTCTTACCTTTGCATGGCCGTTACTGTGAGACGAGCATCTATATGTTAAGGCAGGTTAGCCTCACTGTAGCAACCTTTTAGCTTAACTCCACAAAACGTCACAAAAATCCCTCCAGTTTAGATCGAATGAGTTGAAACGGTATCGCGAGATTTCGACGTACCGCGGGGGGTAATTCATAAACCCACTCTAAACTGGGACTTCTCGAAATTAGACAATAAAAAGCTGGTGAGGACTTTAATTCTGCAACAGAGAATGATAATGATGACTTAAAAGGCCACACATTACTGGACTAATGAAGCGACTTTATCAACTCCGGTCGTTGGACGAACTAAATAAAACGTCTGCGTGTTGATAAAAAAGTTTTAAAAAAACAATAATACAACGATAATGTTACTGTTTACTTAATGTTTAATCAACCTGGTGGTTCTCAGCCGCTTTTATATTTTTTGCTGTTACAAGAGGACTTTATTCTATTGAAATTGCAAAGATTATACCACAGAGGGCAGCATAGATACACTCATCCTTACGCGCTCTCTCTCCCTCCATATATACAGTATATACTTACTTGAAATAATAAAACGATCAACAAATCGGAAGCCGATGTATTGTACTGAGAATACTCCAAATGTAAAGACGGTTATTTCAGCCGTGCGACGACAATAAAGGTCCGTTTTAACAAAAACGGATCTGTTGACTATCAAACACTGGTAAGTACGTAAGACAACCAGCAGCCTGTGCTGTTGAGCCTTTTCATAAACAATGACTCCCGTTAGACCTGCATAAATATGTAGTTCATTCCCGTGAGTCACCCTGTTCTGTTTGACAGGCCGTTGTAGTCCTTTTTATCCACACCCTGTCTTCAAAGTCACCACAGGCACTTTGAAGACAGGGCACAGAACATCTGAGGATGACAGGTTTTGGGGGGCGACGGGGAGGGGGGGTTGGTTAAAGAATTAGCTGATTAACTGCAGAAATCAAATTAGCTAAAATTATGACATCATTACGTCAAAGGTCGGGGCAATTCCCCGTGTTGTTTCATTTGAGTGATGAAGGAAAAATAACCTTGAAAAAAGGACAGAGGGTTTAGTTAATTAAAGGAATGATGTAATCAAAATAGGGAAAGGAGGCGTGTGAATTGATGTGAAAAGGTCAACTGGAGGGACATGTCCTCACCAGCGCCACCTGTCACTGTCCGTTCTCTTTCACTCTCTCATCCTTTCCCCCAAGAGGATTTCACTCACTTCAGCAGTCAATGGTAGACAAAACCCTGGCCTCACTTGGTCCTCCTCCCTGCTCTTCGAGGAGCCGCAGGCCCCGCCCAGGTGTCCTGTACGACGGTGTTGCCTTAGTAACTGTAGTTCCATGTCCAGCCAACAGGACAACAGTGGGACAATTGGTCATTTAAAATGAAAATAGAGATGATTAAATGGACAGGAGCACGAGGAGGGGAGAAGAAGATTTTCTATTATTTATGTAATAATAATAAAGAGGGCAACACAGCGCAGTGGGGGTGGGGAGGTAAAAAAGAGGGGAGGCAAAAACTGGATTGGAAGGGTAAAAGTAGAACGATGGACAGATAACAATGTTAGAGATCAAATGAAGCAAAGGTTAAAGAGAAGAATCAATAAAGTAGTGATTTTACCCTCACCTAACGAAGAAGGACGGAGGCTGGA